ATTATAGACGCGGACTGGATTTTCGTCATCAAATCCTATTTTGGGATGCTGTTAAATGATAACGATTGTGATCATATCTTGGTTTGTGGTCGAACATAAGCATTCTCGCTGGAAATTTTGTATCCAATGATTAACTGACTACAACTGTATTACGTATAAGCTTGTAAAAATTTTGAGTACGCCATGACGTTAGATACTCCGTACTAACGTACTCATGGTAAGCGCTTGGGATAATCTTATCTATCATTTGGACTTCACATTTGCATAAATTAAGAACAGGAGCCAAAATTATCTTTAACGGATAAACTTCTTCTATTCAATTTGAACGACTGACCTCGTTATGTGATGTCTGTAGATGATGCTGCTAGTGATGTGCTCTACCAACTGAGCTAAGGACTTAAACCGATGCACAAAGTGCATTTATTGATATCTGACATCTTTCTATTACTAATAGATTTATAAAGTATGTTCCTATGCTATATACTACCTTTCCATACATTATTACGGGCGTTGGATACCCAAGTGCTAAAATAGCTCGCATTCGATACTCTCTTAACATCACCGCAATATTCGACATTCCAACAGGTACTTTACTTCTAGAGACTTCTTAATCCTCCTTAGCTCAGTGGTAGAGCGCATCACTTGTATTCGCCTCGAACTAATGCGCAGCTATAATGATGAGGTCAGTCGCTCAATCCGGCTAGGTGGAATGCAGCTAATCCATGTTCTGATTTTCGAATTTTCTGACTCATTTTAAACTCTAGCTAGTGAATATACCAATATTTCCTTGTAAAAGAGCGCCGCCTGTAGCATGATAGCCTTAGGAATGGAAGGAAGGCCAAGGGTAAGCAGTAGTCATACATCATGCTCGAATAATATATTTTGTAATAATCGATTTTCAACCTCGATTGCTGCTCTTTCTAATACATTTAATGGAGTCGAACAACTACATAGAGATTATAAAGATCTTAGTACACCCTCATTTGTATACAATGGCCAAAATCTATGTCATACACAATTTATATGCTATTCAAATCAAAGGGAATAGGATATATGCAGCAAAATGAACCTTCACATCTGGGCTGGTATTCCTTCTAGCCGACTTGAACGACTGACCTCGTCATGAAAACTGTTCACATATCCATACTAGTGACGCGCTCTGTCAACTGAGCTAAGAAGGATCTGCGTCTTTATGGCGAAGAATACACCGTAGCCTGTCCAAGAGCTGTCAGCGGTTTCAAGCTATCCGAAGCTTTCTAGAAGGACTCGGTATAATTCAAGGATGTATCGGGTACATCTAGACGAGACAAAGTATAAGTATCTCAATTTTTGCATCCACCTCAAGTCTTGACAGGACTACTAGCACGCTGGGTGCACGTCGTAACGCGTTGCCAGAGAATTTTGACACTTCTCACTCACTGGGAATAGCCTGAGTCTAGATTATTAGAAGACCTCGTCATACTTTCCAGCGAAATATTTTCAGCACTAATTTCCACTCTGCCTGCAAAGACGGGACTCCGGGACAGCGTCCGACATCAGGGAAATCACGAGTCGGGTGCACATGCTGCATGCTTTGATCTGCTCTGCCGCTGTCGGCAACAGCGAGCTCAAAGTTCGAAAAGTCGAACAATTACTCTTCCCGTAGATAATCTGAGCCAGGAAGGGTGCTGATAGGATATCTGCATTTCTATTCAGTAGAAAAACTCTAAATGATTAGGCGGAGGCGGGGAAAATGATTGTGCACGGAGCGTGAAATGTTTCCTGCAAACTGCATTGCCTGATCCAGATCCTCGAAGCAAATCAGTGTTCCTGACCATTCGTGATACCTTCCTTTCTCATACTCCATCCCTTTCTGCTCTGTTCGTCGCCAGCAAATCCTTCAGGAAGAGCGCTAGTCGTCTTCAAACCAGCCCCGAAATTGCTGGAATGGACCAGCACCAGGACCAGCAGCAGAAGGACTTTCTATCGAGCTTCTTTTCAGACAATTCGAACAAC